AAATGGGAATCCGTTTCTTCTCCCAGCTATGGGTTAAATAACATGACAGACTGGATTATCTAGCCGTGATTGGCAACCGATCTAAAAAGACAACTATGAATACAAAATCAGTTGTGATTCTGGCGGGGAATATACTTAAACTGGAACTAAGGTCTGCTCAGCATAGATGCTGTATAAACCACAGCTTGGCTCTGTGGTTTGTTACAGAAACATAAATAGGTATGTGCAGATGTGCCTGTTCGGAAACGAGCAGCCATACTGAAGATAAGAAATCACTCTGAATTACAGTCGAAACAGCTATGACGACAACAACAAAAAAAATACCGTATTTCGCTGCTTGTAAGTCGTTCCGATTCATTTGACGCCCCCCACCCCTTTACAAATTTTGAAGGAAGAAATCAGAGGAAAAAAAGTTTGGAGCATTAATTTTAAATTAGAGACATGTAAATTTGGATGCCGAAAAAAGGTTAAGTTTGATTTATGTGTAGGTTAAAACATATGATAGTGCCTACCGTAGTGCCGAATCCTTATTATAGCTTGAAATCCTCATTATCGATAATCTTGACAAGTTTATCCCAACTGCATAAATTGCGTCTTTCAAAACGTTGTTCACTTAATTTTGAAACACAGCACTTGTTATTATTTTAAGACCAACAACAATTTTCCTAGGTAGAAAGTCAAAACAATAGAAAAGTTAATAAAATCCATGGGTAAAAGATTGATAAAGGTTATAGAATATCAAAGAGCCAATATCAACATGGAAAATTATGAAATAATAATTCATTCATATATATATATATATATATATATATATATATGGTTGGATAGATGTGAGTTTGTGACCCTCACATCTATCCAACGAAATATGTTAGCTCTATCTCTGATATTGAGCGCTTTCTAATAAGTACTGCGTATATAATATATAAATAATTATACATAGATATATTTATTTATATTTATATACACTTTTCACACACACACACACACACACATATATATATATATATATATATATATATATATATATATATATATAGATATTGTGTTAACCCATTAATGCTTACCTTCCCATTTTTGGAATGGTAGCTATTAAAGTCTTTTACCATATTCTGCTGCTTACAAGAAAAATTTCAAAGGAAGAAATCGGGGAAAACAGTTTTTTACTTGTACTTATCGCTCTCTCCACTTTTACCCACTAAATAGCATATTTCATCATAAAAACCTGACTAACCATGATACATTCATCACAGCTCGAGAAGAAGTACTAAATTTCTGGTAACTATTTAGAATGTAATAATTAAAAGTTATAATATCACTTAAAACCTGAACGTTATTGAAGCCTAAAATCCTCGCTAATCGTGACGAATTCATCACAAGCCAGAATGGAGCATTAATTTAAAATTAGAGACATGTAAATTTGGATGCCGAAAAAAAGGTTAAGTTTGATTTATATCGAAAATATTTGACACCATTAAGTGTCGTAAGAACGATTACCTAATCAAGCGAAAATACTCAGCATGTTCTAATGAAATGTAGTATACAGTAGAATTATCCTTAAAGTGTCCACCATGAATAATGCTGCTTCCTGACCAGTAGTTTAAGAAGGAAGCTGTTAGTTAAGCAAGTGTTACTGTAGAAGGAATTTCGTTCCCTGTCAATATCCCCAACTGCATAAATTACGTCTCTGAAAGTGTTGCTAATTTAACTTTGAAACACTGGACTTGTATTACCCTTACAGAATCAGGTGTAACTGACGTTCACCCCATACACCAAACTGATAACTACCGTCAGCGATCTATAGGACGCAGGGTTGTTTTGGGAAATATTTTATAGGAAATAATACGTCTTATACGCAGCAAATATGGTAGCATTTTATCTTTAAGAGTTGGAATTAATTTCGTTTTGTTTATTTAATAATGTTAATAAAACGTTTGTTTATTAATGAATAATATTGATAAAAACATTCGTTTATTAATTAATAATATTTATATAAACATTTTTTATTAATGAATGTTGGTAAACCGTTTGTTTATTAAGAAATAATGTTGATAAAATATTTATTTATTTATGAATAATGTTGATAAAACATTTGTGTATTAATGGATACTGTTGATGAAACATTTGTTTATTAATAGATAATGTTGATAAAAACGTCTTTTATTAACGAATAATGTTGATAAAACATTTGTTTATTAATAGATAATGTTGATAAAAACATTTTTTATTAACGAATAATGTTGATAAAACATTTGTTTATTAATAGATAATGTTGATAAAAACATTTTTTATTAACGAATAATGTTAATAAAACATTTGTGTATTAATGGATACTGTTGATGAAACATTGTTTATTAATAGATAATGTTGATAAAAACGTCTTTTATTAACGAATAATGTTGATAAAACATTTGTTTATTAATAGATAATGTTGATAAAAACATTTTTATTAACGAATAATGTTCATAAAATATTTGTTTATTAATAGATTATGTTGATAAAACATTTGTTTATTAATAGATAATGTTGATAAAAACATTTTTATTAACGAATAATGTTGATAAAAACATTTGTTTATTAATGAATAATGTTGATAAAATCATTGTAACGTATAAGAATGTGCCATTTGTGTCATTTGTATAAATGCTTTTTCAATGCAAAAATTAATTTGCGACTACTTTTTATTCATTTGATTCTCTCTAAACGGTTTTTTATCAAAGCGATCTCCGTAGATACAAACATCATTAAAATCAACAATAATAAAATAAAGTTAAACTAGTAATAAAATTATAATAAAGATTACAGAGTCCTCGAACGTGTCAAAAAAAAAAAAACAATAATGGGATTGAGTAAAGGCTAGTAATAAAAGAATTTTAATGTATCCACCCAGAGTGTTGAGATAAAATGCAACAATAACAAGATGGAGTAAAAATGGGAATAAAATAATACGAATAATGCAAAGTATTTCGATAAAAAAAAAAAAAAAAAAAAAACAGCAAGAGTAATTAATGACAAAAGGAATGGGCAATTTTACTAACAATGTCCCATCAACATACAAGTTGCCCAGAAGATCGCCCTACTCGGAACATCCCTATCAATTAAATAACAATTTTCCTGTAGGACCTAAGGACCATAATTTGGACCTAGCTCTACAGGATACAAAGCAGGAAACATAACATACCAAAATAATAATAAAAATAATAACCAATAGTAATCGGAGCACTGGGCCTCGTGAGAAAAGGAATGGACAATTTTACTAACAATGTCCCAGGTAACATCAACATACAAGTTGACCAGAAAATCACCCTGCAAGGAACATCACATATACTAAGAAAAGTGTTATTAATTAAATAACAATTCTACTATAAGGACTAAGGACCCTAGTTTGGGCCTAGCTCTACAGGATACAAAGTAGGAAACATAACATACACAAATAATAATAATAATAATAATAATAATGTATTGACCCAGGGTGTTGCGATAAAAATGAACAATAATAAAATGGATTAAAACTAATAATAAAAATGATAATAATGAAGACTGTATTGGCCCCAGAGTATTGTAATAAAAAGGCAATAATAATAAAATTGATGAAAACTTCTTTTTTTTTTTCTTTTTTTTTTTTTTACAATGATGTTCATCCTGTACAAAGCCCAAGGAGGTTGGGGGTTACAGAGTAAGAGGTACCCACTCCCCAAACAAGGTGTTAATACCACCAAGACGCATGGGGGTGACTGAAAGGGAAATAGGAGGAAAATACTTTAGAAGGAACTTTTAACCCAATCCTAAACAGCGAACAAGGGGTAAACCTCTGCATCTGTTCAAATGACCGGGGAGGAGTATGAGCCGGACGATAGTCGAACCTATCAACTCCTATTAAACTATTATTAAATTAAATGTGTATGGACCCATAAAGATGGCCAGGATTGGGTGATCCGGTAACATCACAAAATCCTGATGTTTTATTATTATTATTATTATTATTATTTCCTTTGATTTCTGATGTGTACTCATTACTTTTCCGGGTCCTGACCAGAGACCTAAGGGCAGAAATGGCTTCATGACGTTTTCCAGTGAGCAGTTTTGAAAAAAAAAATCACACTATTTTACATAGATAAAGCCCTTCGTAAGATGTGAGTTGTACTCACGAGGACAATTTTTGGTATTTCTTTAAGGCATTGGGCTACCAGGAATCACTACAATGGATCTATTGGAACTTTTTCCAATCAATCCGAGTGATCCAACTACAACTGGAATTGTTGATGTTCTTATGTGCCACATTTTTCAGATTTCGATTTCAGAGTCCTTGTATTTTTAAATTTTTTGAAGATCTTCAAACATGCATTGCAGTCTGCAGGGACTGCCATATTAATAAGGACACACTTTTTTATTTGCGATCTCTAATGATAATAATAATAATTATTATTATTATTATTATTATTATTATTATTTGTGTATGTCATGTTTACTGTAAAGCAAAATATGGTCCTATAAGAGAATTACCATTTAATTGATAGCACTTTTCTTAGTATGTGGGATGTTCCTAATACAGCGATCTTCTGAGCAACTTTTATGTCGATGTTACCTGGGATACTGTTAGTAAAATTATTATTATTATTATTATTATTATTATTATTATTATTATTATTTTGATTTCTGTTTTATACACATTTCTTTCCCAACCAGAGACCTATGATCAGAAATGGCTTCATAACATTTTCCACTGATCATTTTTATAACTGTTCCATCACCAAAAAAATCTATGACCTCAGGCATTTTACATAGATAAGACTTCATTGTGTCTATCAGAACCTTTTCCAATCAATCCGAGGGCTCCAACAACAACAGGAATTATTGATGTATGTAAAACTATTATATGTAAAATGCATTGCAAATAAGTTTCCTATAAAAATGAACGGCAAATGATTCTATTATAGGAACATACTTAAAATCATGAAGAAAGGGATTGTCAGCAATCATAAATTAATACAAGCATTACTAACAGAATAAGGCTATGATAGATAGATAGATAGATAGATAGATAGATAGATAGATAGATAGATAGATAGATAGAACATAAATGTATTGCTAATGATTTTACTATAGAAATTCATTGATAGAAGAAAGGGATTCAACGTGGTCAGGAATTCGGCGAATGATTTTACTATAAAAACTTATTGTCCATTGTTATGGATAAGATTAAAGAAATATATCAATGTTTATTCCCTCTAATTATTACGTATATAGTGATAAAGTAGAGATCAAAATGTGCTGTTAATGAATTTTTATAAATATGCATTGTAGATACTTTTACTATAGACTTGCATAGCAAACCTTTTTTGTATTGAAAATCAAGGGAAAAAGCGATTATTACTGAATTTTTCTGTGGAAGTTGTGGAGAGTAATGATCAATTACATTTCGAAAGGATTTGGCCCTTAAAAGAAGAGATAGAACAGATAGAGCTATCTACTTTTTGTAGAGTAACCTGTGAAGAAGAAAACTAATTAGCTCGTAGTTTTTTTTGTTTTTTTTGTTTTTTTTTACAGTAAGGTTCGGATTGTACAAGGCCCGGAAGCCACTCGAGGTAGAGGGCTACGTTAGAAGGGAGTTCATACGGATAGACGGGAAAAATAACGGTTAACCCTAGACTTGAACAGATTGTAGTGATCGGGGAAACATCCTCTTGGGAGTCGGTTCCACAGGGCAGTGGATCGTGGGAAGAAGCTGTTCGAGAGGAACTGACTTCTCACCAATGGAATATGGGGGGGGATATGGGTGGTTTGCTACAATGTAAGTGTCAATCCGGGTCCTAGACCTGAAGGTTAGACCTGGCACAACCAAGGAATGTAGTTCGTCTGAGCACTTTCCGTGAAAGTAACGATAGAGCAGTGAAAGGCTTGCGACATGCCGCCCGCGGGAGAGTGGCTGAAAGGGGAAGTATATTTCCTCACCCGCATGACGCGGGGACGAGTCTGGATAGTGTGGTTTGGTTAAGAATTAGTGAAAACGTCTTAGTAATGCTATACCCCTACATGTAATAAACAGTTATGGTTTTATACTATTCCCTACTCGTTAAAATTTTTGAATTTTTATGAGGAAAGATAGTGGGGGGGATTTCCTGTTGTCTCTTCCGCAATTTTTGAATTCCGGTGGAGCAATGGATAGCGTCTCGGATTGAGAAATCGGAGAGCCGTGTTCGAATTCCAGTCAAATCCATTACATTCACTTACGTGCTAATACCCCAGGGAAAGGTGTGAATCCTCTTCTTCTCCCTCCAGCTATGGGTAAATAGCAGGACAGACAACTGGTCTACCACAGAAAGAAATGGTAACCTACTACGGGAAAAATCTGCCTCGTCAGTCAGATACATGATTGCCTAAGCGTGTATCACGCATGGCACATAACTGAACTGACTCCTCCTCGATAGTCTGTCACTTAAGGCGAGAAATTCTATTCTAGGCTGCTATTTAACCCCAAGCTCTAGGAGGCAGAGAAGAGATGTATTCATGCCTTTCCCAAGGGTGTTAGTGCGCAGTGAACACAATAGCCTCTGTTTGAATTTGAACTCAGACCGCCTGTTCCACTTTCTGAGCCGATAACTGTTATGCTACACCTTCAAATATATATATATATATAATAATGTAAATGCATTGAAAATAATTTCATTATAGAAATACACTCCAAATAATGTTACTATAAAATTGCGCTGGAAACGATTTTTACGATAGAAATGCATTGGAATTCAGGAAGAAAATGATTATCAGTGGCTAGAAATTAATGAAAGCTTTTTCTGGTAAAAAAAATATATATATATATATATATATATATATATATATATATATATATATATCAATGTAAATGCATTACAAATAGTTTTACTATAGTATTGCTCAGCGAATAATTTTACTATAGAAATGCATTGCAAATGATTTTACGGTAGAATTGCCTTGAAAATCAGAAAGAAAAAGATTGTCAGCGGTTAAAAATTAATGCAATTATTACTAACAAAATAAATATATGTTTATCAGTATAATGTAAATGCATTGTAAATAATTTTACTATAGAAGGGCATTACAAATGATTTTACGATAGAAATGCATTGAAAACCAGAAATAAAATTATTATCAGTGGTTATGAATTAATGCGAGTTTTACGTGCAAAATAAATGTATTATGAGTATAATGTAAATGCATTGCAAATAATTTTACTATAGTAACGTACTATAAATAGTTTTTTACTATCGGAGTTCACTGCAAATGATTTACCATCGAATGCATTTCAAATCAGGAAGAAAGTGTTTATCAATAGAGAGAAATTAGTTCAAGCTTTATTGGCAAAATAAATATATTATATGTATAATTTAAATGCATTGTAAATAATATTATTATAGAAGTGCGCTCTAAATGATTTTACGACAGAAATGCATTGAAAATATGGAAGAATATTAATGACAGCGTTAGTAGTAAAATAAAGATAAATATAAATAAATATATTAAATTAAT